GACCGGGACCGGCAACGGGATCGCAACCCTCGGTGCTGCGCCCACACCTCGCTCAGCCAGTGAGCGGGAACCGGTCTGTATGTGGGATCCGAACCCTCGGTGGGAGCGCCACCGCGCTCCCAAGCGGCGCACTGTAGCAGTGCGCCACCGGGCCGGCCCCGGTCATCTTTTTTAAAAAATAAAATAAAATAAAATAAACAAGTTAGGGCCGAGCCTGTGGCACACTCAGGAGAGTGTGGCGCTGGGAGCACAGCAGCGCTCCCGCCACGGGTTCAGATCGTATATAGCGACGGCCGGTATACTCACTGGCTGAGCATGGTGCAGCCAGTCTAAAAAAAAAAGATAAACAAGTTAATTTGGAAAAATTAATTAACCATTTTCTTCTGACCCTTGCCACATTCTCACACCATAATCTCCCTTCAGTAAGCCAGGAGAGCGATGGCTACGTTTCAAGTGAATCACCTCACAGATGGAAGCCTCTACACCCCAAGTATTAAAATCATTTCTTAGAACCCTACAGGTTAAAACTCTATCTACAAGAAAATTAACAATCCTTAATCTCATATTCTGGGAAAAAGAAAAAGTGTTAGACTGAATCAATGACCCCCAACCTGGAATCTTCTAAAATCTGAATCTTCAGCAAGTAAGAGGTATTTTGAATATTTTTAAAAGGCCGTTAATACTATAGCTAGATTGAATAAAAAATAAAGGCCAGTGCACACAAGTCATGAATTTACCTGCCATAAGGATGGACAGACTTAACTGAAATGTTCAGTGCCTTGCTTTTGACAACACAGCACAGCAAAGTGGGAAGTGCCTGGAAGCCAGATCAGACCCCAGCTTGACTGCTAGGCCTGTCCTCTCGGGTAAGACTTTATGGAAACTTCACTGGTGTTGGTGAGGACCTAGATTCTCTGCAGGTTCAGCCACCTGTTTTCTCTTCTGGGAAGTGTGTGGGACCCTGCAAAGCTGCTCATTTTCACTCCAACGAAAAGTGTAGTCTTTATGATGATCTGCAAGGCCCTGCTTGACCTGCCTCTCCTCAGTCTCTGACTTCACCTGGGACCACTCTCCCCTCCCCTCAATCCTCTCCACCACATCTGCCTCCTCAAACAAACTGATCTGCCTTAGCCCCAGGGCCTTTGCACTTGCCATTTGCTCCACCTGGATGACTATCCCAGGTATCCACTTGGCCAACTCTAACTTCTCCAAGTCTTTGCTGAAACGTCACCCTCTCCATGAAGCCCTTCCCTCCCACCCTACCACTCCCCAACTTCTAATCCCTCAACCTTCTTTTTCTTTTGTCCGTGGCACTATTCAACTTCTAACCCACTACATCACTTATTTATTTATTATCTACATTTTTTATTTTCTAGCCCCAGCAACCGCCCCAGGAAAGCTGCAGCAGGGACGTGATCCGTCTCTTTCACTGATGGACCCCGCACCAGAACAGCTCCTGGCACACAGCAGGGGCTCGAAGTCTCATCTCACCAGAGCACGTCGTTTGGTCTGCTTTTGATTAAACTAGAAAACCGGCTTATCTAGACCTTAAGATGCAGTTTGGTTGGCTTTTTTTTAAAGAAAGTTTAAAATGCCTAAAAACTGTAGTTCACACGAATTCTTTCAAAACGCGGGGTCCTTATATATTTTTTAACTTATTGTTGTTACTCAATAACTGGAAAAACACTGCGCGGAGGGTAGCCCTCGGCTTAGTTTCTGCGGACTAAAATATAAAAACAAAACGCTGGCTCGTCAGAACCTCTCCCGGCGGCCGCGCTGCGTCCCGCCTTCCCGCCCGCGTCGCTCCACGCCAGGCCCGAGCCCTCACCGTCTCCCCGAGGATGCCCAGCAAAGTGGGAAGTGCCTGGAAGCCAGATCAGACCCCAGCTTGACTGCTAGGCCTGTCCTCTCGGGTAAGACTTTATGGAAACTTCACTGGTGTTGGTGAGGACCTAGATTCTCTGCAGGTTCAGCCACCTGTTTTCTCTTCTGGGAAGTGTGTGGGACCCTGCAAAGCTGCTCATTTTCACTCCAACGAAAAGTGTAGTCTTTATGATGATCTGCAAGGCCCTGCTTGACCTGCCTCTCCTCAGTCTCTGACTTCACCTGGGACCACTCTCCCCTCCCCTCAATCCTCTCCACCACATCTGCCTCCTCAAACAAACTGATCTGCCTTAGCCCCAGGGCCTTTGCACTTGCCATTTGCTCCACCTGGATGACTATCCCAGGTATCCACTTGGCCAACTCTAACTTCTCCAAGTCTTTGCTGAAACGTCACCCTCTCCATGAAGCCCTTCCCTCCCACCCTACCACTCCCCAACTTCTAATCCCTCAACCTTCTTTTTCTTTTGTCCGTGGCACTATTCAACTTCTAACCCACTACATCACTTATTTATTTATTATCTACATTTTTTATTTTCTAGCCCCAGCAACCGCCCCAGGAAAGCTGCAGCAGGGACGTGATCCGTCTCTTTCACTGATGGACCCCGCACCAGAACAGCTCCTGGCACACAGCAGGGGCTCGAAGTCTCATCTCACCAGAGCACGTCGTTTGGTCTGCTTTTGATTAAACTAGAAAACCGGCTTATCTAGACCTTAAGATGCAGTTTGGTTGGCTTTTTTTTAAAGAAAGTTTAAAATGCCTAAAAACTGTAGTTCACACGAATTCTTTCAAAACGCGGGGTCCTTATATATTTTTTAACTTATTGTTGTTACTCAATAACTGGAAAAACACTGCGCGGAGGGTAGCCCTCGGCTTAGTTTCTGCGGACTAAAATATAAAAACAAAACGCTGGCTCGTCAGAACCTCTCCCGGCGGCCGCGCTGCGTCCCGCCTTCCCGCCCGCGTCGCTCCACGCCAGGCCCGAGCCCTCACCGTCTCCCCGAGGATGCCCCGGACGCCCCTCCACTGCGAGGGCACGGACGCCACGCCCAGGGTCTCGTCCTGCAGCGACCCCGGCCGCCCGCGCCCCTCCGTGCTCGCAGCCCCGCCTGTCGCCAGCGTCACGGTACCCGCGCTTCCCGCCCGGCAGAGCGGCCCAGGCTGCGCGCGGGTTGCCATGGAGACGGCTCCACCCTCTCGCGCTGGCGCACTCAGACACGACCTTCGCCCTCACGCCGCCACGAGCGGAAGACTGGGTGAAGCTGGCAGCGCCATTTTTGTATTGGTCAGAGCGCTTCCTCCAGAGAAGGGAGGAAAAAGTGGACTAATTCTTTTCCGCCGGCGTGACAGGCGTGACCGGTTTTGGATACTCTGTCCGCACAAGCGACGTGCTTGGGGCAGCGCGGCTACTCTTGGGCGGAGAGAGGCGCGGAAATGGGGCAAGGGTGCCAGGCTCAAAGATGGCGCCGAGCGGACCGGCGCAGAGGCAGGGGCGGCGGGCTGTGGCTGCGGCGACTGGCGACTTCTGAGACCTGGGGGCGCGGGTGGGCCCAGGGGCGCCGGCTGAGCGGCAGAGTGCTCCCAGCAGAGTGGAGACACAGCCCCTGGGAGGTGGCGGCCACTTCAAGTGCTCTGACTGATCCTCAGTTGCTGCCTCAATGGAATGATGATGAAAAATACGCTAATGCGGATCCCAACTGTGGTGAATAGTTAGGAGGCCCAAATGAGGTCATGTACAGAAAAATGCTTGTTAAATGGAAATTCAAGACACAAATAAGGCTGGCCAATCAGCTCAGTTGGTTAGAGCATGATGCTGAAAACACCAAGGTCCAGAGTTCGATCCCTGTACTGGTCACCACCACACACACACACAAAATAATAAAAACACAATTACCTACCAATTAAGAGTGCCCACTGTGTGCCAGGCAAAGAGCCCAGAGCGTCATACGTGTTTATCTCATTAAACCCGCGTCCTGAGCAACTATCGTTTATACATATGTCCCATAAAGGTGCTGATGGTCAGAGAAGTAACTTCCCTATTAAGACCCTGCAGGTGACCGGCCTGATCCCAAAGCCACGTTCTGAGCCTCTAGGCAGGAATCCCCAGGCCAGGTCCTCTCGACCATTTTCCTCCTATCTCAGAGATGGAAACTCGCCCAGTTGGAGTCTCCTCTTCATCACCCAGTGACAGAGTCTTCATCAGGACCCTGTTCCAGCCAACGCTATGAGGACAGATTAGATTAGCAACACTGGACAAAATGAAATGCAATAGAAATTTCTTCCTAGAAAGTAGAACAAGGTGCAGGGTTTGATCCCTGTCCCGGCCAGCCACCAAAAACAAAAACAAAAATAGAAATGGACAAAATTCTTTGTGAGGCCCTCTTAACACTAGAAGAATCTGCAAACACCCCTAAGGATTCCAAAAATCACACTCAAAAAAGAAGCTCAAGGCTGTGGAAGTGGGGAGGCCTGGATTTGAACCCTGGAGAGTAGTTCATGCTCTTTAACAGGTTTAATACTCTCTGGACTTAGTTTCCTAGTTGTACAATTGGGGCCAGAAAGAGCACCTGCTTTACCAAAACAAGGAAGAAGAACATTTCAGGAAGAGAAAGTTGGTCCAACATATTAAACACCACAAACAGCTCAGTAAAGATAACGCCAGAAAGTAGGCCAATCGGTGAAATTAGCATTTTAGGTGATAACTGGTGGTCTCGCCGAGAACAATTTTAATGGAGTAATGGGGACAAAAGCCAGGCTGCAGAGGACAGAAAGCGGGACACAGAGAAAATAATAGACATTACTGGGAGGCTAAACACAGGAAACAGGTATGAGTATAAATTGGTAAAACCTGATTGGAAGGTGATTTAGCTTAAAGTGTGCCTCCTCTCTTATCTAGAAATTCCACTTCTGGGATTTTTTCCTGAGTTAACAATGACAGATTCACACAGATGCTGAGCCCATTTATACAAATGCAGTGAGCCTACATGTCGCAGCAAAGTCCTGGGACACAACAGGTGTTCACTAAATATTTCAGAATGAATTGGACAGTAGACTTTTGGTTTCACATTTCTGACATAGTACAGAATCTCTGGTGGTCATTAAACATGTGTTATGTAGATGTTTAAATGTGACAAAATGGGGGCTGGCCTGCGGCTCACTCGGGAGAGTGCAGTGCAGACAACACCAAGGCCACGGGTTCGGAACCCTATACTTGGATGGCCGGTTAGCTCCCTTGGGAGAGCGTGGTGCTGACAACACCAAGTCAAGGGTTAAGATCCCCTTACCGGTCATCTTTTGAAAAAATAGATAGATAGATAGATAGATAGATAGATAGATAGATGGATGGATAGATAAAAAGTCTTGTAAAATGCAATTTACATACAACTGTATCCTATTTTTGTTTGTTTGGTGCTTAAAAAAATGTTATTGAACAAAATCTGGAAGGATAGATCCCAAATATAGATACCAGTTGCCTCTGGGTAATTTTTTTTTTTTTTTTTTTTAAAGTGGGCTGACTGGCCATCCCTATATGGGATCCGAACCCGGGGCCTTGGCGTTATCAGCACCACACTCTCCCGAGTGAGCCACGGGCCGGCCCGCCTCTGGGTAATTTTTTTTTTTTTTTAAGAGGGGGGGGGGGGGGGCGGCCCGTGGCTCACTCGGGAGAGTGTGGTGCTGATAACGCCAAGGCCCCGGGTTCGGATCCCATATAGGGATGGCCAGTCAGCTCACTGGGTGAGCGTGGTGCTGACAACACCAAGTCAAGGGTTAAGATCCCCTTACCGGTCATCTTTTTTTTTTTTTTTAAAGTGGGCTGACTGGCCATCCCTATACGGGATCCGAACCCGTGGCCTTGGCGTTATCAGCACCACACTCTCCCGAGTGAGCCACGGGCCGGCCCGCCTCTGGGTAATTTAAGTTTTATTTTTCTCTCTCTGTATTGTTCCAGTTTTTTTGTGGCTTATTTGTCAAAAAAAAAAAGGAGTGAACACATGAACGAGTAAGCAACCAAACACTTGCTGTGCTGGGGAGAGTATTGTACCCTGGGCAGGCAGGACGTTGGGGAAACACTTCTGGGGTGGGAGGGCCCTGAGCAGGCATAAGTGCCAGAGAGGAGGAGGCTGAACAGAGAATAAGGCTGGAGGAGGGGGAGGGGGAAGGGGGAGGGGAAGATGACACATACATACATACACATATGCAGATATGTACCACGTAAGAGTTTCTCTCCTCTGGAATACTCCTCAAAATTATAATTAAGTAACAATGTATTAATGCCCATCTGCACCTGTGGGTCAGCTCCACCAACATGTCGACCACAGCTGTCCCCAGAGCCCAGCATTGCGCCTGGCAACAAATAAGGAATAATTGAATGAATATCTGACCCACAGTTTCTGGCCCTACAGGCAGAGCAGAGCCCCTTTCAAATTTCTGCTGGGCCTCCTGCTTCCTATCTCTGCTTTTGCCACACAAAAACTTCAGTCAATGTGTGTTCAGAGAATGTTCAAATGCCTTCCAGGAGGTTCTTGCAAAGGGTCAGAAAAGAAGACACCCCCATTTAAAAACCCTCGTGACTTTTTTTTTTGCAACTGGCTGGTGTAGGGGTCAAACCCTGGACCTTACTGTTATCAGCACCACGTCTAACCAGCTGCACCAACTGGTAAGCTGTCAACTCAACTTTTGAACATCTATACCATGCATGTGCCAAGGATGAAAGAACAAATTATACCACATTCTAATAACACCTCCTAGTGTATAGAGTTCTCGCTCTGTGCTAAGCATTTGGCATGAATCCTTGCATCCTGATAGGTCAGGAATTATTACTACCCATGTTTCACAGACGTGGGAAGGAACAAAAACCCAGAGAAGTTTAGTGACTTGCCCAAGGTCGTGCAGAACTGGCGAGTGGTGGAGATTGGATTAAAACCCAGGACTTTCTGATTCAAAAGTTCATGTTCCTTTCTTTAATTACTCTGCCTCAATTTTCTTGTTTGTAAAAGTGAGACACTAGCGCCTATCTCACTGAACCGAAATAAGACTGAATAACAGTTGGAGTGCACACAAAGAATCCCTCAGAATGTTATCAGTAATTAATGCTTCTTAATTATTAACATTAGTATTACTTAGTATTACTATCAATGCTGTCGGGGATCAGGGAGACCACACAATGGGAGGCTGGACCTTAAAAGATGGGAAGGATTAGTCCTGGTTAACATTGGGTACAGGGTGCATGCATGCATACATACATACACATACACAGTTATGTACCACATCACAATGTCTTGGTCAGTGATGTACTACTGCATATAGAACAGTGGTTCCATAAGATTATAATGGAGCTGAAAAATTCCTAATGCCTACCAAGGTGGTAGCACAATGCATTACTCATGTAGGAACAATAGGCTAGGTGTATAACAGGCTGTACCATCTAGGTTGGTGTAAATATACTCTGTGTTTGCATGACAAAATTGCCTACTGATGCATTTTTCAGGATGTATCCCCATCATTAATACACGTACAAATACAAATATATAAAGGATTGGCCATCCAAATAAGTGCTGTCTTCCCCCAAGTTGCCACCAGTTATGTACCGGGGGCTGTGATGGATTCTGCCCTCAATGAGCTACAGTTGCCCAAGAGAGATGGTTACAATACCCTGTGAGTGGGCTATAGGTGACAGACAGGGGCATGGGGCCAGCAGAGCCCCTCATGCCCTTGGGGGATCAGGAAGGGCCTCCAGAAAGAAAGGGCTTGTAGGCTGAGGTCTGAAGAAATAATTCAGCCAGGCAAAGACAACTTGAAGGCAGAGACAGGAGCTGGAAAAGGAGGAGAGTCTTCTAGGCAGAAGGAACAGCACTGCCACATCCCCAAAGCCAGAGAGAACCTGGTGCCTTGGATAAGGCAGGCAGACAGGAGCAAGATCATGCAGGTACTAAAGGACAAGGAATTTGAACTTTATCACCAGGGCACTAGGGAACCACTGATGGGTTTTCAGCAAGGGAGTGACTTAATCTGATTTATGTGTTTTGTTTTATTTTTTTGGCAGCTGGCCAGTTGGAGATCCAAACCCATGACCTTGGTGTTACCAACACCACATTCTCCCAAGTGAGCTAACCCGCCAGCCCCAATTTATGCATTTTTAAAAGATGCCTGTTTGGATTCCAGCACCAGCCAGACACCAA